TTTTTTTAAATATGTAATAAATTTGTCACCCAGGGCACAGCTTATAGCTCTGCCTTCAGGCTAGTGGATCAAAACAGCACTTTATGCTACAAAGGTGTAAATAATGTTCAGTGAAAGACAAAATAAAGAAAACATGAATATTAGGATTGGGGTGGCTTAATAATGCATCACAGTTTCTAAATAACAGATGGCTTCTATCAGATGTCTGCCGTGTGTGTGTGTGTGTGTGGTTAATGTTTAGTCAATGGCTAACATAACGTCCCATTAAGCCCATCTCTCTGCTCTCTGGTGCTTGCCTGCAGTCTCTCTTTATGACGTAAGAGATGGATGGTGACATACAGACCCCCAGTGGAAAACATGTTCTGTCATCATGAATGTGCCAATAGGAAAATGATTATCAAAAAAAGCACTAAAGGGAATTACGGATCCCTGCCGCTGTAAATGTCAGCCTTCTCCATGCGTACTCGTGTCACTCTGGGGCAGTTTAGGCAAACACACAAAGACAGGTTCAACCACTGACTGACCCCCCCTCCCCCCGCCAAAAAAAACAAAAAAACCAGTGAGTGATTATTACTTGGACCCAGTCCCAGTGTCAGTTACCCACGTTTGCAGCAGTGATAGCGTGTGTCACTGACGCTGTTACTGCTGCTGTGAGCAGACAGGTGTGTCTGTTTAAGGCGGCTGCTTTTGACAGAACATGTGGATTGAGTTGAGTCTGGGATACATAGTCTTACTTAGATATCTTTACTTTTTCAGTAAAAAAAAAAGGAAGAAAAGACATATACAGTACATGTCAGATTTAAACTGCAACATCTATTATAGCATCAGAGCACCTTTGTTCCTTTCTAAACAAACACAGAGGCAACAAAAGAGTCTTTGCCCGTCAGACCTTGAATGATTGTTACTTGTTCAGTCAGGTAGTGAGCTGCTTCTGCTGCCACTGCTTTCTTTAGAGCGTTGCCTCCTGCCAGCTGTATGCAAATGAGACAATCTACCTGTTCAGTGAAATGTACAACACCCTGGAGTTACTAAAACAAAGGCCACACTTTGACTCAGCTACCTGTCCTGACCCCTTTGGGACATTCAATGAAAACACCTTGAACTGGTTGCAGGAAACAACATTATCATTTGTCTCATTTAAAGGCTTCCCAGTGATCTTCCCTAACTAAAAGTCATCCTTGTGCCTTTTCCGGTTGCCAACCCGTACCTGCGTAACGCGAGCCGAACGAACAAAACTTCATCTTCAGGTATTGTACGTGAGGCTCAACGTGAAGCAAATACGGACAAACGGGGAAAGGTCACAGCGTAAGTCGGTCCAGAGAGGGATGTGATGGGCATAAAACAGCTGGCTTCTTCATGTTCAACCTTTAGGAGAAGATTTTAAAAAGTTACAGCACCAAGCAAAAGTTGTCAGAATGGATTCTCTGAAAGGGAACGAGTGAGGAGCTTCAAAGCTTACCTTTAGAAGAAGCAAAGAAATAATAGCAGGCGCAGCCTCAGACCTCACCTTTTATACCTCTACACGCTCTCTCTCTCCACTGGCTCACTCTTTTCCTTTCTCCACCCCTCAAAGTGGATCCTCGGGGCAGGCACAGACACCTGTCGCATGGTGCGTTACTCTGATCCAATATTGACATAAAGGGGGAGGGTTGTCTCTACGTGTGTGTGTGTGTGTGTGTTGATGGGAGGTCACACCAAACACCCACACAAAATGAATTATTCTTACTAACGCCTTTGCTCCATCCAAAGCCCCCCCTCCCTCCTCTTCTCCGTGCCGGGCAACGACCTTTGTGCCTGCACTGAACTGTAAAAGGGCTCATTGTAACGTAGCTACCTGCCAACCTGCTCGTTTTGTCTCATTCAGCGTCCGTGTGGGAATCATTTTCATATTATCTGCCTTGCAAATAACTTTCTGCTGCAGAGCGACACACCTTGCTCTGTAACTCTGAGGGAAAATCGTCTCAGAGTTAGTGGAGGAAAAGTTTGGTGTTTAAATTTGGTGGGAAATCCACCAGGAAACATATCTTCATACACATTTACCCAAAGAGAACACTGGAAAGGATATTAGTGTTTAGATGTATTCATTCATTCAGATATTTCAGTGAGTCCAGTATATCTAAATCTGAAAACTACAACGTCAGGAAAAAAATAGATACAAATGATTGTGGATTATTGTACTAAAGCTCCCGCTCATCTATATCGCTGAACTGTCCCTACCAGCCCACCCACCTGTTTATTCTCATGTTGTTGTCTCTCAGTGCTCTTCTATTCACACGGCTTTCTTCTCACTCCACTGGAAAGGCAGATGGCTACCCTTCAGAAGCTTCCTGTTCAAAGGGACCTTTTTCTACCCTCTGTAGCCAAGTTCTTCCTCATAGGTAATCATCCAGGTTCTCTGAATAATATTATAGGCTCTCACCTGTACAATACAAAGTGCACAGATATAAATTTATGATATAAAAAGTGAGGAAGTGTGTAGTGAAGTGTGTGTTTGGGTGGTTATTTCTTTGCTGTAACTGCTTCTTGGCAGTAAATCTTATACTGTTGGAAGGTCTGTTTGTTTCCCCTTTAATGGAGCCACATTTGTGGGAAAATGCATTTGTGGGTTGAGCAGCAGAGCTGCGTATGTAGGTTGTGCCCATGAAAACCTCGTTAAATCTTCTCTGCCAATGTCAAACAGCTTATTCTGCTGTGGACTCTAGTTTTAACTCCTTGTTATGATCTTGTGATAAACCTGTTTTCCTATTTTCATGTTTCTATAGGTTAAAAGGAGAGATCCTTGGAAAGACTTTTATCTTTTGTGGCTGTTATAGAGAAAATTTGACACCACAAGGCTTTTGTTTAATAAGGCTGCTTCACACTGATAAGCAATTTGCTTTAGAAAGTATTAAAAATTAAGGTATTTAAAAGGTATTACTAACAAAACACATTAAGTTGTGTTATGGGTTTGTAAGATTCAGTGGTTGATGAGGACTGCTTGTATACTTGCCACTACTCTCAGAAACATTATGGTTCTTAAATGGTTCTTCAGATGTCTTCGTGGTTCTTTAAAGAACCATCCTACGTCAAAGAACCTTTTTATTTTGTAGATGGTTCTTCAGCTATTACAAATGGTTCTTTAAAGAACAAAAGGTTCTTCATCCTTAGCAATCTAAGTTTGATGGTGTAAATGGCATAAATATTTATTCACTATAATGAGGCTGTGAATTATACTGTGTGTTTTCTTTGTGTGCATGTGTGTGCGAAGGGGGAGGGCGGGTTACCTGGCAATTACCCTTTAAGAGAAGATGGTAGGAAACTGAATATTCAAATAAAAGTTAGAAATACTTAAAAATATACTGGTGGCAGGGGTGGGGGCCAAAGCCTAAAGACCCCCCTACCCCCACACACCCCTAACCCCGCAAACCCATGATCACAAATAATGTGGTAATAGAATATGGAATTTTTATTAAGATTATGAATTGTGAGTTAACAAACAGTAGACACAATCACACATTCAAATACTGTACTTTAGTTTAAATTTTAATAAAATATTACTATTTACTATACTATTTGCATGCGCAAAAGAAGACGTCACACACAACGCGCTCGTTTAGACCCAGAGCAACAGTATTGTTTGACTGATGCCTTAATATAAAGACTTGTTTCGGACTTTACGTTTCCCAATTTTGCTTTAAGTTATAAAGTTATTTTGTTTTTACATTTGGCCTAATAATGATCCTTATTGCTGTTTTAGAGGAGCGTGCTTCAAAGGATAGCTGCAGATTTCTGTCAGAATCTGCAGATTATACAGTACAAAGAAAATGTTCACGTTTCTCCAACGTTGTCTTCCCAACAGTTTCACTGGATGGCAGGAAGCGTTCACGATGTCTTCTCCGGCGCTGATAATTGGCGTCTGTCTTGTGTCAGTGACGTAAAAGACGGATTTAATGCGACCTGACCATCAAACAGCAGCCGCTTTATAAAACATCAGATATGTGTCGGATTCAGGACCACATACGAAAGTGACCCAGATCGGATTTAAAACTATCGAACTTGTACAGTTGACACTGTCATAGCATGACCGGATATGGGTCAGAAAAGTCGGATTTGATGCGCTTTCGCCTGCAGTGTGAACGTAGCCTTTGATTGAATTACAGTGGGATGGAAGTCGAGGACAAGGAGAAGGAAGCTTAGGACGAGGAGGAAGAAAAGCAGCAGGAGCATCTTTAGTGATCTCTATGATGTCATTGGGGTTGGTTTCATTAATATGGTCCTCTCACAGAGAAAGATGACTTGTTTTAGTTCACCTACTTCCTGTATTAGATAGTGATGTGCAAAACGTTGTGGAAAGCGGAGCAGTCAGGTAAAGTGCACCTGCAGGCGAAGGAACATCAAATCTCTCAGACTAAAATCTGTATTATACTTTTAGTCTTACGACAATATGTTATATATTTAACACCCCTATGATAAAACCCATGTCAGCCATTGGTTTATGAACTTTGTATTTTGGAGCCTCAACATTTGCTTTATTGCTGTTGCTATGTTGTTTTTTGGGAGCCTTTTGGGACCATGTTAGGACGAGGGATCAGAATCTGGAGTCGTGCACACTATTGTTTCATTTAGCGTGTATCCATAAGATTTGTACAGCAGATCCAAGTTGTGCCTTGAAAACAGGAAAGTTGTCTGCATAGAGGAGAACTGTAATAGCAGGCTGGTACAAAGTGAGGCTTTGTGCTCACATTTGCTGCAAACACTCGTTTTAATTCTGTTACCCTGTTTTGATGCAGAATTCACTTAAAATCAGGCAAGAACTGGACTTGTTTTAATAATGTGTTCTTGTGAAGTGATTGTGTATCGCATACATTTGATTTGACTTTCTGCCAGAAAAGTTTTCCAAATACCTCCACGTGATCAAGCCTGGATTTAGAAAAGAATAGCAAAACAAAAAAAAGCTGCACCTCCTGCTTCAGATGCAATTTGTGCTTGTGTGTTCAGAGGCGGCGAGAGGCAGGACCTCGGCTCATCCAGCTGGAGAGCCTGACCAGGAGGAGTCGAACAGGGGCACCCTGCAGACTCGGCTGCTGGCATTGGCGAGGGAGTGCGGCCGCCACTGGGATGACGTCATCCCACGTCACAGGTCGACTGCAGGTATGCGAGTCAGACCTTCTGAGGAGGGTTTCTCTCTTCTTTATAACTGACCCCGTTTCTCTCTCTCTCAGCTCTTTGTCTCAGTAGGAGCACAGAGGGAGGAGCTTGTCGTTTGGTTGGCTGATATGGATGTCCACCTGAGTGAGGTTGACCTGCTGACAGGAAACACCTGTGAAAAACTGAAACAACTGCAGGTGTTATTAATACATGTAATAATTGTTACGTTATCTATAGATATAGTATTTATATTTATTTATTTATAGTATAGTATAGTAAAAATATTGAATTATTACTGTTTAAATGACTAATATGTGACATGTATTAGTAGTGATGTTGTGCTGAGGGTTAAAATGCATTTTTAGCTTTTGGTAACTACGAAACCATTGATATGTGTCTATGCTGTGCTCGTATTTATTTTACCGTACTCATATCCAATTTATGATACATTTTATTTTGAAAGATTTAAAATTGTTCTTTAAAGAACCACTCAAAAAAGGTTCTTTAAAATCAGACTAAAGAACCACTTTTGGGTCCAGTTGGCACCTTTAGTTTTCTGAGTGTAGAGGTCCAAGAAAAGACAAACGGTGAACCGGTGCCAAAGGTCACGGACACCCAGAGCTCATGAGTGTGCATGGACAGTACAATCCCACAGGAGCAGCACCACACAGTGAAACCCTCAGTGCTGGTGTCATAGCGCATATTAGCACACACAGAGTTTTTAATTACATGACCAAACGACCCACACTGGGCATGTGAGAGACCTGACTGTTTGACTGTGTCCATCTAGACATTCTTTGACATCATATGGGTGACGAGGTGACTGCGCATCACAGCAGTTTGCATTATGGGAAGAAGGAAAGCCAGCACAAGAAGCGTGATGTTCCATGGCACGACGTAAGCTTCCACATGGGGAAAAAACATTGTGGTTTCCAAAAAAAGAAAAATTCAAAAAGACTTCAAGGTGTTATTGTGGCCTCCAAATTCCCCACATTTTAATCTAAACGGACATCTGCAGGGTTTTTCCTGCCTCAAAATGGGCCTTTGCATACTGACGGTGAACGTAACCACAACCAGGTCACATATGATTAAGACAAGAGACACTTTATTTAAATGCAAGTCTCTGCATTTGCCTGTTTTTTATAACCATATGATACACAGTTTCCATGCTTTTATTTGATGGCTTAGTAAGAGAAACCCTTTTCTAAATTATTATTATTGGTGATGTTACACTTGGGGAAGTTTAAAACCAGTGGGCACCATTTCTTTTGTATGCAGGAACCGTCACCTGTGAGAGGAGCTGGAAAAACCCGTGTGAGTCACAGAAGCACCACCTTCGACTTTGAGGACAACAAACAGGGATCATCATCATCGCTGTGCTCTAAACAATGGCATATTCATGAATGATTCCTCTTCCTGAAATGCATTTCTTCATCCTACTTATTTACAGTTACTGTTCTTACAGTTCATTGAAAAAGAATTTGCCTGTGGTGTGAAAACCATCTGCAGAGGTGAAAAGCATCAAAAGAATAAAACTACTGACTCTAATATGAAGCTGCTTTATCTCATGTAGTGCCTGCCCTGCAACCGCCGTGGCTCCAAGGCACAATCTAGCTACTGTCTTTAGAAAGAAGAGTCATACATTTATATAAAGATCATTTATTTATGTATGTGAAATGATAAGGACGGCAGACAATAGATCTAATAGAGACAGGTATGAGCTCCATTCAGCTTTCCCTCATCCAAGTCACAGTAATCTGAGGTTAATAATCAACTAATAACCAAACAAGTGCAGGGGTTAAAACACTGTTGAGCGGGTCCGTAGTACCTAAAATTAAGTATTTCCCAAAATCAAGAGTTAAATCATCATTCAGTTTGTTCAGTACTGCGCTGTGACTAACTGCAAAATCCACCAACAGTACACGCAGGTGCAGTTAAAAGGCTCCTTCATGGGATTTACGCTGTTTGTGAACACGTGAAGACTAATGAAGAACCTCTGTGAATTAAAAATGCCCTGAACTTGAAGCTTGAAATATTAGTGTCCTTCTTCTTCTTCTTCTTCTTCTTCTCCAATTCAGGGTCACGCAGGGATTGGAGGGTATCCCAAGTTTGTGGAGTGCGGGAGGAAGTCGGAGAGAACCCCTGGAAGCCCAGAAAGAAGGAAGAAACCCCAAACAGAGCCCCCTGCTGGCTGGTGATTCAAACGCAGGAGACAGAGCTCACAGTCACACCACCCCCACAAAATATTGTAGCATTTCTATCTAGTGTTTTAGCACTGATATAACAGCATGCAAGGGGTGGTGGTTTTGTGACCTAGACAGAGCTACAAGAGGTGGTCTTTTTCGTGCTGTAAGAGACATCCTGCACTATTTTAAGTGAATCTCCATTTCGAAATCGTCACTGCAGTACTCAGACCGGAGGAATGACCTCAATCCATTATTTAAAACCAACTACTGAAACCTGATCAGAAAAAACATTGAGATTAGAAATCAGTTCAAGTTGTGCAACAAATTTAAAAGGAATGAATCACAAACATTTAAAGCAGCAGATCAACCTGCCAAGAACACGCTCCAAGTGTCAAACACTGTAGTGTTGCACACTGATGTGGCAGTGATACCTGAAGTGAACGGTAGCGTGTGCATAATTACACGCTGCCTTCAAAACACTCTGATCAGCTGCACAGGTCCTCGTCACAGGTGCACTCTGAAACTCGAGTCAGAGAGTTACTTAGATGCTGCTCTGGCCCACTCTCTTTCTGTAAGCATCCCAGCCCGACTTCCTGTACAACTCCGCAGCTTCCACCCTATCAGAGGCTGCCAAAATGCCTCGTCCCACGATGATGACATCAGAGGCTTTGCTGTAGATAACTTCCTCTGGAGTGGTGTACTGCTGGCCCAGCAAATCTCCTGTAAGGGGGGAGGGAGGCCGAGAGAAGGGAAAATAGGTTTAGAGGAGACTGATACAGACTTTGGGAGATCAGCAATAGCAGGGGTGGCACTAGTTTCATGTACTACAGCACCACCCTGTGTTAGAAATGAGTCATGGCACCATAAAGAGGCAAAAAGCGGAGTGCAAGGCTGCCTGAGGTGCAGTTTGGCCTGAACTTTATAAAAACCTCGAACGAGTTAACACAACTCTCTGAATCTCCTGATGGGACGTGTGTGATTCCTCGGGTTACAACAACAAGGGATGTAGCACTGAGTGCATGCACTGTGTATCCATGTATCTTCAGTAGGGTGGATTTCATATAGACAGTGCATTCACAACTCACTTCATAGTTCTTTTAGTATGATGAATATAAGTGGAAAAAATGATGATAAACAAAGAAACGTCAGCTCAAAGTTCAGTAAAAGCTGTCAGACTTACCTCCAGCCTGCATCTGCACCCCGGGGGTCATGTGGATGAACTCTGGCCTCTCTGTGAGCTTAGTGCCACAGATAAACCCAATCACAAAGTCCGAGTGCTCCTCTGCCATTTGCACCTATGAAAACACAAAGTAGCTGTAAACTGAAAAGAACACAAAGCACATGTAAACAAATTTAGAAGAAGAGCACACAGAAATGAGCTCACCACAGCCCTCGTGTATTCACCAGCAGCCAGCGATCCCTGGGAGCTCATCTGAGCTATGAGCAAACAGCCTCGGGCCAGAGGCTTCCCTACAGCGCTCAGACCTTTCACCACTCCCGGCCCCGGCACTGCGTGGGCATTCACTATGTGGGACCACGATGAAATCTGGTACAAACCACCTGAAGAAAAGACAAGATCACAGCGTTCGACTACTTTGGAGACATTTTTAAGTCACTTTGCATTTACACGACCAAAAGACGTGAAATCGTCTCACCCTCATACTGATGCTTGACTGTGTTCCCGATGTCAGCGAACTTGCGATCTTCAAAGATAAGAAAGTTGTGCTTTTCTGCCACGGCCTGCATTTTCTGAATAAAGGCTAATGTGTAGTCCTGTTAACACATATGGGAAAAAACCATCAGTTTGTTTGTTGCATGTACAGATTTGAGGTTTTAGTTGATCCTGCTGTACCTGGAGGATGTCTACGTGGGTCTTCAGCATGCAGATCTTTGGACCGAGCGACTCGGCCAGCTGGAGCAGCTCATCGCTGCTGGTTACATCAGCAGACACACAAAGATTGGACTGTTTCTCCTCCATAATCTTCAGCAGCTTTGATGCTAGAGGATGAATGTCTGCAGACAACAGAAGGAAAAGAAAATGAGAAAAGAAAAGAGCAAGAGAGACACAGCACGTGTGTGGAGCTCAATGAAAACACCACCAGTCTCTGTTTTGACGTGAAATAACTAAATAATTTAAGACTACATACTTGGTAACTTGGCTCTTTCTGAATAACTGAGCTCCAGCTTCTGTTCCACACACAGCTTCTTGCTGGCTGGAGAGTCTGTGCCATTCTTGGGCCTGAGAGTGAGTCAAGGTGACAGTTTCACCAGACAGTTTCTAGATTGTAGCGTAATGCAAGCAGACACACCAGCTACACCGGGAAAACATCTGGAGAGTTGTACCTGAAAGTGTTGTTGTCCCGGATGAACTCGAGGACAATCTGGGCGGTTTGGGCGTCGATGCGTTCGGCTGCCTGCAGCACACGGAGCAGCTGAGATATGGAGATGATGGGACGGAGCTTGATTCCCTTTGATGCCAACATCTCCACGCCACCTTGCTCTCTGTCCATTAGCACAATTGCATCAGTCACCTTGAATAAAAACATGTCAGAGGTCATTCTTGTGTATTGCTGCTCTTGATGACATCAGTGCAGCGTAACTATGATATTATTATCTTTACTGTAAGGTTAGATTCTGGACCTTCAGTCCCTCTTTGTAGAGCACTTCAGCAGTCTCCAGGATGCTGGTGCCGCTGGTCACCGTGTCCTCAATGATCAGGCACGTATCCCCCTGACGGAACGACCCCTCCACCAGCCGTTTGGTTCCTGAAGCAGAGTTACAGAAGGCAAATACTGAAGGACAAACTTACAGTAATTCTCAAACTATGAAATATTAACCAACAATATAGCATGCAAGATGAAGCACGCACTTTCTTGCTTTGCATTTTATTTTTTTGGGTTGGTTTACGCAGGTTCTGTACCATTGAACTGGGATTTCAGAGAGTTTAGTGTCTGCCTACACTGGACACCTGTGTATTCATGCACACCTCAGCGGGGGTACTGCCTGAGGCTTCAGGTTTTTCAAACATCTGGACAGCAAGTTTAATCAGAGCCTGTAGTGGCAGCATTGTTTTTTATTTTTTTGAAAACCTGATCAGCTGAGAGCGGCTCACCGTAGTCCTTGGCCTCCTTCCGCCTGATGAGCATGGGAAGTTCATGTCGTGAGCAGATAATTGTGGCCAAAGGCAAGGCTGTGTAAGGAACCCCACACACAGAGTCGAACTGCAGACCCTCTTCCTGCACTCGCTCGTAGATGAGATTTGCCACCTGGAAGTAAAAAGCAGTAGTTTGGGTCTGTTGTCAGAAAAAAAGACCAGTTTAGAGTGATGTGTTGCAGATGATGAACTTCTAATAAAATGTTAATTAGAAAGCTGATACAGTTAAATGACCGGCTGTTTAAGGCTGAATGGTTTGAAACGCTGATCAAATCAAATCAATTTATTTATATAGCACTTTTCATAGGATAAAAACCACAAAGTGCTTCACAGTAATATAAAACAGAAATACATAAAATACATTAATAATAAAACACACAGCACAAATCTAATTAAAAGCCAATCTAAATAAATGAGTCTTATCCTGAGTGACTTGAAGAGCGGTTTTGCTTCAGAAAGCTGCTGATTCCTGTAACGATTATTGAGGCTGGAGTGAGTGATTAGCTGGTGAGAGGTCCAGTCTTATCTGTTATTTTCCGTGAAAGGAGGGGATCCCTGAAACTCAGTCATTGTGTCTGCTGCATTACCGTGAAATAAACCACGTGAGTATGAATATTACACAGGAACTGACGAGTGCCTACACAGATACTTTTGCCTTTAAAAAGTGCATCCGGCAGACGTTTCGTGTGTCCGGTATCGCTTTAAGCTGTTCTGTTCTGCAGTCACGAAGACAGCACGTGTTACCTGGTTCATGAGCGCGGGGTGGGACACGAGCACCCTCAGGTCGATATAAATGGGTGTCACCAGGCCGCTCTTCAGCTTGTATTCCCCGAACTTCACTCCGTTCACGTCGTGGAGCTTCAGGATTAAACTATCAATTGAAGCGCCGTCCATTCTCTCCGTATTTACGAGCTTCGGCTGCACTTTCATTCGTCCTCAAAACTTGCTCGTCCAATTCGCGCTACCCCAGTTACGGTAACACAAAAACTTCCGCTAAACCTTTCAGAATAAAAGCGTCAATGTCCGTTTTAAGAGCTTTTAATGTTTACAGATCAAATGTCGCGTAGCTCAGTGAAGAAACGTGAAGAAGCCTGATAGAAAGAATCGTTGTTTGTGAAAGTTCAAAAATGAAGACTCGAATAAATAACGTTGCGACAGGCTGCTGTCCAGCCTCTCAGCT